CTGTTGGATGTTCCCAGGCATGAAAAAGTAAGTTCCTAGGGGAACAAACAATATATTATTATTGTTATCATTGTTCCATCGGGTTCCTAGTGGAACATGGGGCTTCACCTGCACGTCTCTACTTGGTTCTGTCATCTGATGTATTTTTCACCTGCGTCCATGTTAATCCATACTGTTTCAATTCCTCTTCACACGACCTCCTCCATGTCACCCTTGGATGTCCCTCTCGCCGCTTCCCTTTCGGGTTCCACTCGAGGGCCTGACGCGCGATGTCACCCAGTGGCCTCCTCAGCCTAGATTACTAGCTCACTAGTTTTCTAGCCGGTCTTAAGTCCGGGTAAAGAGGGGGGGTTGGGGCGTGGTGCTAGCAACTCCACCCCCGAAACTTAACCAAATTGCTACAGAAACTTAAGCGCACAAATATATTAAAAATTCTAAAACGACCAATATAACTGTCTCCTTACAGGGAGTAGTTGGACACACAGATATAATTAGAGGTAGCTCGCCTAGGTTATTCACCTTGCAGTTGAGGAATCATCACCAACTGAATGAAAAATATAAGCTTCAGCCTACAGGGATGAAATATTCTTTGAGTTAGTTATCTCAACTTGTTGGTTAGTATTTCAGCTGGTATATGACCTTTGAGTTGTAGTCAAGTTGTAAGCGCAATATCGCTTGAAATTAAGTCACGCGTAGATAAAGGCTATCCTGGTCCAGAACAAACAAGAAGCCGGTCACTGTTTCTACGGTACTATTAATAAACAAATGAATAATTATATATATATATATACAACAAACCTTAACGGTTTCAAGAGTACAAAGCACAACGCTTAACAGAAAGCAAGGTACCGCTATCAGAGTGGAATAACGTTAAAGCCAAAATTGCGAACTAGCCGGAATCAGACACGACCGTTCAGGTAAGCAGTCAGTAGAAGAATGAACCCAAGTAAGAGATAGACAGAGCAAAGGCACAAAGAATTTAATTGGCTACTTAACCAATCAATAAATAAGATGAACTCGACAAAATAGTGCAAAGTAAGAAATGGGACAGCAAAAATAACAGTTCACAAAAATACTCTGATTGGTTCATGAGTTCAACTGTCTGACTAAACGGATCGATGTAAAAACACACACAGTTCATTAAACAAGGGGGGATAGCCACGTTAGGGATGGATAATTGGGTTGCAGCAACTCTAGGCTGATCTGGAACGGGTTGATTTGATTCAAGGATGGGAAATGAATTGATCTCACACATGTAAATAAAAAGGCTTCTTGATAATAGATACAGAGGAATTCTTTTTTCAACTCCCTTAGCCCTGTGTTTAGTGATGAAGTATACAGAGTGGCTCTTTTGAACTTACATGTCGTGTACAACTTTAGGTTCGTCTTTAATCTCATCTCAACAAATAGCCCTTACCGTACAGATGGGGTATTTTGGCCGAATATCTTTTATATCGGAGAGAAACAAAGCTGTTACAATGTGTATATTGATCAGTCCAAGTACTTTGCTTACACAAATTACTTTTCATACAACTTTCTGTTCTTTTCAGTAAAACGTCTGAAAAAGCAACTTTACTCTGGGCGTCTACTACTGCTCACATAAATTTGAAAACTGTTAGTGTACCTCATTGAATTGAGATATTATTGCATTCCTGTCCAAATCCTGTTCAGAACGGGTGTAAATATCATCACTCAACCAGTAAGAAAATAATAGTTAGAGAACCATTGAAAACAGGGAGTACTGAACAGCTGTTTCATCCTAGTTTGGGGATCATCATCAACACCCACCCACTGCCAGGGTTCGAACCCAGGAAATTCCGGTTACAAGGCTAGCTCATATACCATTCAGCCACTGGGACCCGATTCAATGGCTCATGAATTCTAACTTCTACCGATTCGTGACTAAGTGCGACCCCAACCAATGTCGTCGGTGGGACATCCATCCTCATACGTGACATCTGGATGGAACTCACTGGTCACGACTTCTCACTAGAACTCCAGGCAACTCCATCAACTCGTTAAAACAAAACTTACCCTAACAATCCAAACTGTAGAAAAATAAAATAATAATTTTCTGATAAGGTTGTTGAAAGGATCATTTTCTAGCTTACCCAGAAAGAAATCGGCTGGCATGTGGCTTAACGGAGAGTCTATTGATACCTCATTCACAGGTGAAATTCATTATTGGCATCAGTAATCAGTTGAATTAAGCCAATCGAAACTGGATAAATACCCTGTTGATGTTACTCCCAACTGCATTTATAAATTTACTTCCACCTGCGGCAGCGATTACATTGGAAGGACAGAAAGAAAGGCTTCTATCAGGTTTTTAGCGTATATTCCAAGAAATTTACGCTTAAAAAGAAGCAGATATTTACAAAGTGCAATTACCAGACACCCGCCTTGTGGATACGGGTCATTTTGTAGGGATTTCCAAATCCTTCAAAATATTAAACTTATAAAGAACAGAGAATCTACTACGATTTGCTGAAGGAAATGCAATCAAACGCTTCAGACCAAACTTATGCACACAGGAAGAGAATTTAGTCCATCTCTCACTACCTTGACAACCGCATTACTTTCATAACACTGATTAGTCATACACACTAGTGAGCTCAGGTCACTAAGAAAGTTCTCAATTTGATGAACTTTAACTTTCTTGAGTTGCTATGTAAACGTACAAGCTAACACTGTTTATTAGATTTTTCTGTTTTCTGTCTTCTCTCAACTCTCGCCCTTTCTTTTTCATAGTTTGATAGCATGTAAATTGATGGCAACTTAAACTAAAAATTGTAATGCTTATATTCCGGATGAGGTCATCTTATAATGTTTTCTGTATAACCTTTCAAACATTGAAGTATGAAATGTCATTATTATTTATAACCATTGTAATTTGAGGTAGTGGTGTTCAGCTGATGAGAACCTGTGAAATAAAATGATAGCACCACTAAATACTGTAAACCTGATCTCTCTTTCTCTATCGAAATTTGTCAAGGGAATCAAATGTATGAAATATTTAACCAGTATTATGACTAAAAGTGACCCGAGTTTCTGTCAAATATGCAGATCGAGGAAATCTTGGACCTGTCGTTGGTTTCAGAAGACTCGACCTAATTCACAGAACACAATCCACTGTAACTGTCGCAGAATAACAGGAAACGGCTGCGCAACACGACTGTTTATTCTTCAAGCAATAATAAAACAAATTTACAATGTTTAATCAATGCCAAAATCTGTAAATAAACGTTAATATAATGTACAACAATACTTCTGATCGTATCTCTCCAATATTTGCCAACCAGTACACGAATGAACAATGACAGCCTTCTTGTCTCCCTCCAATATGAGGTCCAGTTCGAATAAACAAATGATTCAGTGTTCTCCAGCACTGACAGCTTCTCTGTATAAATAACCGCGAAATTTCCTAGTAACCATTGAATGAATCAGTCTATATCCCTTCCCAGTCCGTTTCCCTATTACTCTTTTCTTCTTATAGCAGTGTAAGAGATTTAGTAACGGAAGAAACCATATTTATACATTCTTAGGCACCTCAAAGTTCGGTTTAGTCAGAGGAGAATGCATTGTTCTGATTAGTTGGCAATTGATTCAAGGTTAAACAAGTTGTCCAATGAGGTTATTTCATGTTCACACCATAAACTAAATTCAGATTTGAGGAATAAACATTTCTTCCTCTGCAGCTATTGACTGTAAATGTTAATTTTACCCGTCTCTCAGTGACAATGTATGTTTCTTCCCAGGTCTCCTCACCATCAGCTCTTTCCCACCTTTACCTGACCTCTCAGTAGCGTCCCGATTACCTGTGATCTTTTTCACCGGATCCTGGACGCTCCCTAACCCAGCGACAGCATCAAAGTCCCGTGAGAAGCACTGTACATCTCCTTCTTCGAAGACAGAAGGCCACTGGATCTTCATTGTCTTAAAACAGCGACACCAAATATAACGGCAGAAGATATGAGACTTAGCTACGAACCTTTTTTAAATTAAAGCACATCATGTCTGTAGATTCTTAGCTACATTAAAGTTCCGCTAAGTCAAAGGAGAATAAATTACCTCTACAGCCACTGACTTAAAATGTTATTTCCAATTTTGTCCGCACACTAACAATCTGTATCACGTGACGACGGTGACATATCAACACACAGTTCAGCTGATGAAAGACAAACCAAAATTGAATGAGAGACTACCACAACTGGATCATGTCACGCGCAATTCACAGTCTCCCATACACACACACTCTCTATAAATTATTACACACGATTTATTTTTAAAATTGCAATAGCAATCAAACGATTTAAACCAGACTTATGCATACAGAAAGAGAGTGTGATTAACCTCTTACTCCCTTGGTAACTGAATTTTAGTTTTGATTACATTAATTAGTCATCTAATTCAGTGATCACAACTCACTGAACAAATCTTAATATCATAAACTGTAATCGCTTTTGTTTTTTGAGTTGCTATGCGAAGCTACAAACTAACACTGTTCTGTTCATTAACTTTTCTGTTTTCTGTCTTACCCCTCCCCCTCCCCTCTTTTCAACTCTGAAAGCATATAAATTGAAGATGAAAACTTAAACTAAAAAAATTGTAATGCTTTCATTTTGGATGCGTCACTTTTATAGTATCTCTTCTCTACTACCACTCAAACATTAAAGTATGTTATATCATCTATATAACCATTGTATTTTCAGGTAGTCTGCAGCTGATGAAAGCCTGTGAAATAGAATGATATCATTTTATACTGCAAATTTCGTCTTCCTTTCTTTATCGAAATTTATCAAGGGAAAACCACACGTATAAAATTGCCCCTATTCAGACATTTTACGGATGAAAGTCTCACTTTGCTACATGACGTGACACAAAACGTCGTTTAAAACCGGTCAATATTATCAGCATACTGTTTATTTAAAGATCAGGAAAAGGATTACACATTACTGAATCACTCACATTCTGAAGAAATAATTTGTTTTAGAATAAATCAGGTTTTCAGAATTATAATAACAATAATGTTAGTATACAGATTTGAATTTTATTGCTGTTTGTTATCAAGTTATCAAGTGAAATAATGTAGCCTAGAAATATGATCTGAAATACATAATTGTTATTCAATTCTGTGAAGTATCCTATGTGGAGAAGAGAAAAAAGAGAAGATTCCAGGAGTACATAATAAAGTTGAGAGTGTGTGTGTGTGCATGTGTGTTACTGTATATTTTACACATGAGAAGATCTTTTTGTGCATCCAGGGGGGTTTATAAGCGCTGGATTGTTTTCGATAGAGTAATTATAATGAATGTAAAGGATGCTCCCGATTGAATCCGTCTTCAGTATATTCAATTTAAGCGGTGCCTAAAATGGAGGAATAAAAAAGAGTGGGGTTTCTTGATAGTTTAGTGTTCTTAGTATATGAAATGGATACTATATTTTACATAAAATTGTGTGATTAGGTAGTTGGAGGCGATCGGCAGGAAGCCTTCGACCCAGGTTTTGTGCTAGTTGGCACTCGTCAGCTAGGCGCATCTGGAATATTAAAGGAATCCATGTTTCCTATGAGACTGGAACTTGTGTCACCCAGTTTTTTCAGTCAGAGAGACTACCGCTGAGCTGGTTAGACTAGCTATTGACCTCCTGTAGGACTGTATTAGATACACACATTCAGCCGTAGTAACTTGTTTCATGCCTCTAGTCTTTTCTCGGTCAAGTTCACAATGTGGCCAACAGCAAGCTAGGTGGCTCGCCATTACGGTGCACTCAGAATTAGTTTTATTGGATGATTGGAGGCAGTTGGCCACATTACAAACTTGACTGATGGAATTGAGTGCGCACCAAACAAATGGCTGGAAGCATGATACTAGTTACTGGTGTTCAGTCAAAAAACTAATCTAAACACTGGACGGTCATTTCGCCCGTTCCAGGTTAACCTTATCAGTGGTGTACACGACTTGATTTAGCTCAGAGATTTGAATTAGTTAAAACCACGCGATTTCTGGATAGTTACTTGGCTGAACTGGCAGCACCGCAAATCGAATTTGACATTTGCAATTCACACAGCTCGATAAGGAGAAATTTCATTACATTTTGGTTTGGGAATTGAAATTCGATCCAATGTACCCCCACTTTGTTCAAGTGGCTCATCGCAATTTGGATGATTCGACCTGATTCGGCTGTTTGAGTTTATTTAAGCAGGACAAACCGCAGATGTGCTTAGCCCAACTAAAGTTTAGATAACTTCAGTCTGACTGATTGATGCGGCTGGTATTTAAATGAGTTCTTATCATTTTTATTTTATTTCTTTGTGTCTTAAGTGAGACATGGGGCTCCAAGCTAGAGCTTTGAAGTTTCAGTAGCAGTGTTTGTTTACGTAGTGGGTTTGCTAGCCTCAATCTCAACCTTCTGTATTTGCTCGACTTACTGCCAACAAAGAGAGGTAAGGTTTGCATACGTGTGATGAAAGGGACTACAACCTATTGGACTATGAGCGAATACCGGCCCAGTACTCTGAATAATCCGTCCTAATCCCACGTCAACATCAACAACAATAAGACCGCCGGCACGCAAAGACGAAAGAAAAGACTGAACACCGACAAGAGAGATTTTACTGTCTCAAACAACAGTCAAAATGCTAGACAGAAACTCTGTTTATATACAGTTAAAATAACCTTGAAAATGCAGTCATTCAGTGATGCATTAAAACTATAAGCAGCCAGTAGGAATCCAGAAATCCAAACAGAAGGAAAAACAAAGGACTCGCGCCAGTGCGCGATAACTTCTTTAAATAGTTATCTTAAGGTTGTAGGCAAAATCTAACCAAATCTAACGGTGCATGTAACAGAACCATCGACGCCCAAAACGTTATCCACTAAACCATTTCGTATCCACTTACTCACCAGTAAGTCAGTAATATATAGTTTATAAAAATTATCGTTTTTTTCTTGAATACAATTTATGGTATCGGCTACATCACAAATGTGCGTTGATGGCACAGCGGCAGAAAGCTCGCCAATCACGCATGTGGTTCGGGTTTCGATCCCTGGCCACCGACGCCTTCCTTGACTTCTCTAAACTAGTACTAAGACTGGTAAAGAGGAAAGGTTGGGCATGAGGCTAACAACCCCATCCTGTAAAAATACACACCATTGCCACCGAAACTTCAATTCTCTAGCTTGAAGCTCAATGTTCCACTGGTAACGTACACAAATGAAATAAAATTTTAAAAAATGAGACCACATAGTGTGATGTGAATGAATAACTTCAGTTTCTAAAAAGAACTGTGATGAAATCCCATCTCCTCGAACCCTGCAAATTACAAGTTACCAATTTAATTTGCAGAATTGAGAATTCCCTCCCATATTTTTGGTGGGAGGAATTTGAAACTTATGTGTATGAAATTTAATTTAATAATTACAATTTGCAATTTTTTTGTTTTATTCATATGTCGATGAAAAACCAAAAAAGTAATATAATAATTCTTCACTAAAAAATTCTTAATGGATGATGGAAAAATTTCTTACGCTTGAATAAATAAAATTAAGGTGGTTTGCGTAGTGAAATTTGGCATGAAATAAAAACTGTCAGTCTACTTTTCATAGATGATGAGTAGTTGTATTTCAACTCACTGTTTCACTCTTTTCTCAATAATAACTGAAAGGTGAATTTTGTCAGGTTAATTTGCTGAGTATTCATTCATTTCTCTAACACATGAATAGGTTGATAAATATGTACTTTAAGTTTAAAGAATGTTAGGCTTCTAAAACTAACATAGTGGAGAGAGTGATGTGAGTTGTTTGATGGTGTATTCTTGTGACAGAATAAAAGAGAAGCATCTCATGCTATTATGGACTCATCCGTGAAAATTAGCCGAGTCCTCAGTGAACTGGTGGTGTTCCTCCTGACATCTCCGTTAAAGGTCACTTAAATTAATGTGGCATTATTAACATTATTGTTCCCTTTGGTTCCAAGTGGAATACAGGGCTTCAGCAACACATTTCCCCTTTGTGATATTTTCTGTGGTCCTCTTCACCTGGGCCCACGATTCTCCATAATCTCTTATCTCCTTCTTGTCACACGACATCCTCCATATACCCCTCAGACAACCTTCTTGTCGTTCTTCACTCGAGTTCCACTCGAGCGACGGCCCGGCGCACAATGTCATTTGATGGTCTCCTCAGCATTTACCCAATCCACCTCCATTGCCTTCCATATATTTGTCGAAAGACGAGTTCTTGGTTGCTTTGTTCCCATAATTTCTTGTTACTAATTCCTTTTGGCCATTTGATCTTCAAAAGATAGTGAAGCCAGATGTTAATAAAGGTTTGAAACAAGCTGTTGGAAATGCTTTTCATGAAGCACAGTGCAAGTTTCTCACACCTATAGAAGAACTGACTGACTTGACATTTGTGTGGAAAATCTGAATCTTTTTCTTTATGATGGCTGCCTGATTTCTAAACCCATTTCAGACTGATAAAGGCGTATCTTGATCTTCCGATTCTAACTTTGACATTTTCATCTCTTCCAGGTGCCTATAGTTGAAACAATGCTTCCGAGATAAGTGAAGGAGGTAACCTCTGTTAAATCTCTTCCTTTGATGGTGATTAGTGCTGGTTGTTGTTGTTGGTTAGTTGTCTTCATCATCTCCTCCTTCTTTATGTTCACCTGCAGTCTTGTCTTCGCTGCCTAATATTCTGCAAGTTTGCGGGTTTTCCCCTGCAAGTCCTCGAGTTGTGTAACACTGAACATAACTCATTCGGTTCAGTGTATTCCTGTCTTCTCCCCCCCCAACGCATAATGTGACACATAATCCAGTCCACCACAGTTAGGCATGTCATCAGTGATAGTAAGCAGCCAACCTTACCTTACTTCTGTTTTCACTTCATAGGCTTCTCTCAGTTTTCAGTTGTGTATCACGTGACATGTGGTATTCTCATATAACCAACTGCTGAAAGAGGTTGATAAAGATTTGGGGCTCGCCACAGTGCTTCCAAATTACTTTATAGTTAGCGCTATCGAAGGCCTTCCTGAAGTCGATGAAGTACCATAGTTAAACCGAATTCATGGCAAAAGCCTAAAAGATAAAACCTCACATCTTACTACTTCTATGTTCATTTCCCAGTTCACCTGTTCCTGTAAGTTAAGATATACATGTATCATGTATTAAAGTGTTCGGTAACAGTGATTGCATAAAGTCTGCCCCACTGTCCACTCTACTTCACAAAACTCCTACTTCCAATCGGTCTACGGATGGTAGGATATTCAAGTGTTGGTTTGTAGGGATTTGATTGGTTACAGGATTTTCATCATGAGCTGACATTAGTAAGAGAACCATTGGAAAACCTGGGAGTACTGGACAGCTGTTTCGTCCTAGTTTGGGACTCTTCATCAGTATGCACCCACCGGGATTCGAACCCAGGACCTTCTGGTTACAAGGCGAGCTCGTATACCATTAAGCCACTGGGACCCGATCCAATGGTCCATGAATTCTAACTTCTGCCAATTCACGACATAGCGCAACTGGCACTAGCCAATGTCTTCGGCGAGTATTTGTCCTCACACCCAACCTGCTGCACCCTACTGGTCACGACTTCTCACTAGAACCCCAGGTAACCACCTACCTCAATAGGGCAAGTCACTAGTGAGCATCTCATTGATATTCAAGTGTTGGTTTGTAGGGATTTGATCTGTTACAGGATTTTCATCATGGCAAAAGTTAGACTTCATGGGCCATTGGATCGGGTCCCAGTGGCTTAATGGTATACGAGCTCGCCTTGTAACCATCAGGTCCTGAGTTCGAATCCCGGTGGATGTGTACTGATGAAGAGTCCCAAACTAGGACGAAACAGCTGTCCAGTACTCCCAGGTTTTCCAATGGTTCTCTAACTAATGTCAGCTCATGATGAAGATGGCAGGATAACCTGCAAATTCTTCCATTTCCCTTACACTCTTACGTAATGCTGTATATTTCCTCGTAACTATGTGTATCCTGATTACAACTCATTCATCAAAATATATGTCTCGTTAACTAGATATATCGACCTTGATAGACTTTACTCTCTATAAACATGACTGTAGAGCTAAATAAAACAAATTATCTGAAAACAGCCTCTACACTAATTTACATTTTTTGTTTTCTCACAAGTGCCTAGATGAAGATGATTCATGAATTACGTAATTGCAGTGAACTGAATAAAAATCCATTATGTCAACAAGCGGCGTTAATATTTGGTTCTCACTGCTGAAAGCTAATAAACCACATACTCTATAAGTCAATTTAAACTGAATAAGTACCCTTCTGATATCACATCCAACTGCACTTGTAAATTTGCGTGCAATTGCGGTAGCAAGTACACTTGGCA